TGCAAACCATAGACACCAATAGGGGGCCTACTAGCTTCATCACCCCATTACATTAACATCCCTCCTTATCATCTGATACATGTTTTATATATTATCTGATACATTTTCTATATATTATCTGATACATTTTCTATATATTATCGGATACATTTCCTATATATTATCTGATACATTTCCTATGTATTATCTGATACATTTCCTATGTATTATCTGATACATTTCCTATATATTATCTAATACATGTTTTATATATTATCTAATACATGTTTTATATATTATCTGATACATGTTTTATATATTGTCTGATTCATTTCCTATATATTATCGGATACATTTCCAGTGCTTAGGATCCATTTAATTTTGATGCGAATCCGGATCCAGATCCTGGATCCGCACTGGAAAAAAATGGATCCAGGCCTTTTTATTAAGATATACTGAATTTTTCTAACAAAAAATAATTTTCAAATTTTCGCTTATTTTTATCCTAAAGCTTGATGAACTATTCAGAAATGAGGAAATTTTTATAATCTCTTTTTTTCAAAAGTTCAGATTTGGGTTTTAGGAGTAAAAAGGTTTTTTTTTGCAGTTTTTGGTTGAAGTTTTACCCCTTGGATCCGGATATTTTTGCGGATCCGGATCCAGGAAGCCAAAATCTTGCGGATCCAACGGATCCGGATCCGGATCCTAAGCACATTTACTATATATTATCTGATACATGATTGAACACTATTTATTCCTATCACGTCAGGAAATGTATATATCTACATTATTCAAACCTTTTATATCTCATATTTTATACACTACACTGGAATATGTATATTGTATATTGTATAATGTATATATGTATATTGTATAATGTATATTGTATATTGTATATTGTATATTGTATATTGTATGTTTAAATACTGTGCCCCACCTGAAACTTTAAGTCCCAATAGCAATCTTTAAATCCCGTTTTTGAAACTTAAAGGGACTGTAAGCGTAATTTAAGTGACCCTCCATACAAAGAGGGCAATGTCTGATTCACAACTGTACCCTTGAAACCTTTGGAGTGTTTATCGAGTAGAGAGATCTTTCTGTTTAAACATATCGAAACCCTCTCGAACCCCTCTAAAACGCGACTGACGCTGAGTAGTGTGTACAGTCTGAACTCAAACAGTGTTTTCAAACATTGAAAAGAAAGTTTGTATTTTCTGCAACTTTTAAAAAGTAACTAATAATATTTCTTTAATATATAACAGGTTACAAACAAAGTATACATACTATATAGCAATTAAAAGCGTTACAGTTGATTAATACGGATATGTCCGACATCCTTGATCCGGCAAAAGTTTAAAGGATAGTGTTGTGAATCGGAAAGGCTCCTCTTTAAATAGAAGGTCATTTGAAATTTCACTACTAGTCAATTTAAGAATATACTGAATAAATACTGGAGTGATCAGCAGTGCTCTGATCGAATGAATGGTGGGGTTTAGTGAAAAGTGAATGACATAAAGTGTTAAAAAATAAAACGTTAAAAAATATGTTACCAAAAAAAGAATGATGGTTCTCCATATTGAGTATTCTTGGGTTAGATAAACTCAGTTTTCTGGTTAAACTTGTAATACTGCGCATACGTGATCCACCTGAAACAAAATATTAAAACAAATTTAAATTTGCAAGATAAAACCTTTCAAAATATGTAAAGATAATGAAGGGTGAATGTTAGGAATTAAAATAAAAACTAGGAATCTTGTTTTTCTTTAGTCATTCTCTTCTTGCAGTAAGATTAGCCTAAAAACATGGTTTCAAGGGGAGCAATTCACAACGAATACACTTTTTTCTGATCAACTAGGAATGATTTTTTTAATAGCTGAAAATTGATTATTTTAAATTGTGGTTTCTCAATAAAAATGACTTGCGGATTTATGCTGCAGAGACAATTTTAAAGATATTGTAAGTATTTAGCAAATGTATAAGATAGAAAAACTATAACGACTATATCTTCCTCATTGATATGTTATGAATCGGACAAACCACTCTTTTCATGCCATTTTTATCAAAAATAGCATGTCAAGTAATTGATTCCCGTTTTGTTTTGTTTACAATAATATTTACATAGTATTTACATGTGCAATGTGCATAGTATTTACATGTGCAATGTGTTTAGTATTTACATGTGCAATGTGCATAGTATTTACATGTGCAATGTGTTTAGTATTTACATGTGCAATGTGCAATGTACATAGTATTTACATGTGCAATGTGCATAGTATTTACATGTTCAATGTACATAGTATTTACATGTGCAATGTACATAGTATTCACATGTGCAATGTGCATAGTATTTACATTTGCAATTTACATAGTATTTACATGTGCAATGTACATAGTATTTACATGTGCAATGTGCATAGTATTTACATGTGCAATGTACATAGTATTTACATGTGCAATGTGCAAAGTATTTACATGTGCAATGTACATAGTATTTACATGTTCAATGTACATAGTATTTACATGTGCAATGTACATAGTATTCACATGTGCAATTTGCATAGTATTTACATGTGCAATTTGCATAGTATTAACATGTGCAATGTACATAGTATTTACATGTGCAATGTGCATAGTATTTACATGTGCAATGTTCATAATATTTACATGTGCAATGTGCATTGTGCATAGTATTTACATGTGCAATGTCCATAGTATTTACATGTGCAATGTCCATAGTATTTAGATGTGCAATGTGCATAGTATTTAGATGTGCAATGTGCATGGTATTTACATGTGCAATGTGCATGATATTTACATGTGCAATAAGCATAGTATTTACATGTGCAATGTGCATAGTATTTACATGTGCAATGTGTATGATATTTACATGTGCAATAAGCATAGTATTTACATGTGCAACGTGCATAGTATTTACATGTGCAATGTGCATAGTATTTACATGTGCAATGTGTATGGTATTTACATGTGCGATGTGCATAGTATGTACATGGCATTTACATGAGCAATGTGAATAGTATTTACATGTGCAATGTGCATAGTATTTACATGTGCAATGTGCATGGTATTTACATGTGCAATGTGCATAGTATCTACATGTGTAATGTGCATGGTATTTACATGTGCAATGTGCATAGTATTTACATGTGCAATGTGCATGGATTTACATGTGCAATGCGTTTAGTATTTACATGTGCAATGTGCATGGTATTGCCATGTGCAATGTGCTTAGTATTTACATGTGCAATGTGCATGGTATTTACAAGTGCAATGTGCTTAGTATTGACATGTGCAAAGTGCTTAGTGTTGATGCTTGAAAGGACTCAATATTTGTTAAATAAAGTGGAAAATAAAAATATCATATTTTTAAATGAATAAAAAATAACAGTATTAAGTCTCTAGAGGAGAGGGAAGGGGTGGTGCCCCCCCCCCCTTAGAAAGTTAATAAATATGTAAGAATTTCAGAGGGCCGGGACATTTACCCTATGTGGCTTAGCTTCAAACCTTAACATTTAAATTTTTATACTTTGTGTCGGTTTTTATATTTGTTGTTAGTTTCTTTCTTGGATAATAATAAAATTGATCATAATTTATTAGGCCTCTAATACAAACAAAAACACACGGGGGGAAACTTGAATATGATATTATCAAATTATCAAACGGATATTATTTTGTAAATTCTGAACAAGGAGTATGGAATACTAGGATAGACCGGGCCCGCCCTATACTATATGATTATACATGCTTTGCATATTGTATACATTAAACGGTTAACAAATTAGGCTGAATAACGATAAACAAACACATTTTTTTGTGATGCGAAAAAATTGGCAATGCAAACGTATTTTAATCATTTAAAAAATGGTTTAATTTGCTATGGTAAAGTAAGAAAATACATTTAAAGACGACCTTCAAAAACTAAGTTTCAAATGGAGTACCGTCTGCAAAGCATGTATAAATTATATGGTAGGGCGGGCCGGGTCGAATCCTTCTCCATTATATTCTATACTTCTTGATTCTGAACCGGAATGTGTAAGACCTGAAATGGACCAAGAGGAGATATGTTGGTTAGAATTGACTTTTTTATTTTTTATTTTGAAATCCACAAAATATTTAAAAATCAATTGCAACTTTATTTTTCTGGTCTAAAGAAAAATTTGCAAGAATTGGATTATTTTAGATTTGAAGAAAACAGAAAAATCCATAAAATATAGTTTGTTCATGAATTTATGATGTTAAAGAAGATTACCATTCGACACTCTCTCTGTCCGATCCCCAAACCCTCCAGACAACTCCGCCAAAGAACCATTTAGGCTGAACCGGAAGGTCTGGCTTAACCGCCGCCTCAGTTTCGAGAAGGATTTCCGTCGTGGGGGCGGAGCATTACCCGCCGACTCATGGTCAGTGTCCCCGCGCGGCGACAACCCGACAGCATCGATCTCGGTAACTTTGTCCAACTCAAGTTCGAGTATATCACTTTCAGACATTTTAATCACGTTTAATTCACAAACTTATTTACAAGTTTTTTTTTCACGAGTTTTTAAAGTGATTTTCACTTAAAAAAATAGAATAAAACTTTAGAAAATCATGCTCTCTGAAAAAGATTTTAGTAATTAATTTGTCTTGTTCAGTAAAAATTTATAAAAATGTTTTCATAAATAAATAAATAAAATTAAATATTAATATATATAGATAAAAAACGATAACATTTATTTTTCATCACTCTATTTTCTACACTAATAAACTTTGACTGTGTGGATAGTTTTTAATAAAATTGCAATGAGAAAAAATATTTATATTTAGGACTACTAAAAAAGAGAAGAAAGTTTGATTGCAAAAATAAAAGTTTTTTTTTCTCTATTTTTCCAAAAAATAAATATAAAAACTATTGTTTTTGTTAAAACACACTAATATCATAAATAGTGAAAGATCCCGCATATTCATTGATTCATTGATTCATTGATTCATTGTTTCATTGATTCATTGATTCATTGATTCATTGATTCATTGATTCATTGTTTCATTGATTCATTGATGCATTATACCCGCATAGGAAACATGTTTCATTCATATTGATTCATTGATTGGAGTGACTCGGCATAGTTTTGAATGACCCTCCAATGGAAAAGGTTCAAGCCTGATTCACAAAAGCACCCTTGGTCTGAGCAAAAAAATAGTAAATATATCATAGTTTGCTAAAAACTAAAAATTGAAAATTTGTTGTTGTGCTTTTCTCTAAAATTGACTTGCGGATTTATACAGGAGAGACCAAGAATGAAACTGTCAGAACACAATTCTATATTTCTAGATGGTGACACGATGATATATTTCTAGATGGTGACACGATGATATATTTCTAAATGGTGGCACGATGATATATTTCTAGATGGTGACACGATGATATATTTCTTTTTGTTACTCAGATTAAGGTTTAAAGGGTAGATAGCATTGGCAACTCTGAAATAACACTGACAGTCCATTTAAAGATGAAATTGATTAATTGATCATTATCCCTCGTGCGCCATTCTTGAGAGTCTTATCAGCGCATAAACGCACACAAGGAACAGAAATACCATCCAAACTGAACAAATGAGCAAAATAATATTTTAAATTTAATTTTACAAAAACTTTGATTTTCCAAAAAAAAGGAGATTCAGTTTTCAGATATTTCTAACAAAGAAATTTTAAAAATATGCATCCCCGATTGGTTAAAAGGCATATCAATTCCATCCCTCCATGAGAAGTTGACAACATAATTTTTCCTTTCATATTTTGAAAAAAAAGTCCATTGCAATTCATTGAAGTTCATTGCAAATCATTGAAAAATAAAACATAATATTATCATTAAAAATAAAATCGCAAAAACTAAAAAAAGTTGTACAATAACATTATTTGCTTCCCTACAGCATATCCATCCATGTTTTCTGAATGTAAACTTTTTAAAGTCTCTTCTGTCAATTTCAGCTCTTTCTTCAAAACTAGAAAATTAAATATTAAAAATTAGATGTTCTAAGATTATGAATTTTAATTTTATTAACAAATTTAAAACTATTTGACGAGTTGTGTTGAAAATATTAAGGTTCTACTATACAGGGTTATCTGTCTATGGCTATTTAAGGATTTTGTACAGGAATAAAGGAGTGTAAAGTAAAGATGCAGGGAATAAAGGAGTGTAAAGTAAAGATGCAGGGAATAAAGGAGTGTAAAGTAAAGATGCAGGAAATGCAAGAAATATTATGAGAAGAACATTAAGAAAGGTAAATCTGATAAAGACCCTGCAAACAGGGGCGTATACAGAAATATGGTCAGACGCTCCGCCCTCAAAAGCTCCAAAGCCCCCCTTGAATATGCCCCTGTCTACAAAAAAATGGACTTCTAATGGCTCAACATAAATCTGAAGTTTTTAAGAAGAACTAAAAATCGTTTATTTTTACTCAGTCTCACCTTGTAAATCTTTTTCAATCCTTTCTCTCTCAACCTCAGCTAAATCCTAAAATACATGATCAGAATACGGTGGTGGTGGTGGTGGGGGACTATAGGGCTTAGCCCCGGGCCCCCTCCCCCTCCTGGATTAGTGAGTATTTTAGTTATAGGGGTTTCAGGACCTAACTTAACTTTACTTGACCCAATAAAAGGGATATGGTCGAAATAATTGTTTTTAAAAGAAAAAAAGAAGATTACATGGTTAAGAAAAAAGATTACATGGTTAAGAAAAAAGATTACATGGTTAAGAAAAAAGATTACATGGTTAAGAAAAAACATTACATGGTTAAGAAAAAGTAACATTTTAATATTCCATTGAAGCGTAATTATAATATTATTTACATTTCCTAAACAGAACTCACCCTATATTCCAGGTTCCTCTCAAGTACATTTATTTTGTAAAAAAGTTTTTCCAAAACTGCTTTTTTGTCCGCCACCTGAACAATAGGAAACTATTAAGATACACTACCACAGGGTATACCACTAACCATGATAATTAATGTACGAATTGTATATGTCGTCTTTGATCTCAAAGGGAATGTCACCGTATTTTCAAATGACCTCACATTGAAAGAGCATGCGATGCCAATTCAAAACGATCCCCTTACAAGCCTAGTCTTATCAAGAATGAATTAGATCACCATGTTTTTGTAAATAAAAATATGTAACCTTCCATATTATTGATCAGGTTTAGGTTTCAAGGGTGAACCTGGCATCCCCCTCTTCAATTTGATACTACTGCATTTCCTTTAAATCAACGTGTGCACGAATGAATGCTTCGATGTTGTATAATTCCTCAAAAATCATAAAATGTTAAGAAATTGTCATTCTTGATTGGACGCCCTGTATATTTAGCAACATCCTGGATTTAACAATATTTGGACACCACTGCACTCCATAAAAATGTTTATTTCCTTAAAAATATTTTTACATTAATATTGATGGTTTATAGATTAAGCTTACAAGTATTTAACTATTATAAATGAAATATTAAACATAATTTTGATGAATCTTTGCTTAACTTTACTTCTATTCCATCAGCGATAAATCAATCTAATTATATTAAACAGAGCAGAGTTATTTAAAAGACGACATTTGATATCCCTTTTTATTTATAAATTACCTCTTCAAAAACAGTGTTTTGAACGGTTGCCATTTTCCTAAAGAATTCGAAGGATTTGTCTGAAAGTACATTTATCAGATTTTCTTCGAATTTATTTTAAAGAAGCTTTAATGCTTTTATGCTCGGTATTAACTAAGACGACCTTCAATAATGTAACAATTTAAAAATATTTCTTTAACAACAACTTCTTTCAAATATTGGAAATTAATCATAGTTTTAAAATTTCAAAATAGACTTATCATAAAAGGATAGATCATGAAAGGATTAGATCATGAAAGGATAGATCATGAAAGGATAGATCATGAAAGCATAGATCATGAAAGGATAGATCATGAAAGGATAGATCATGAAAGGATAGACCATAAAAGGATAAATCAGGAAAGGATAGATCATGAAAGAATAGAGCATGAAAGAACAGATAAAGAAAAGAAAAATCAAGAAAGGATAGATCGAAAAAGGAAAGATCAAGAAAGGATAGATTCGATCAGGAAGGATAGATCAGGAAGGATTGATCAGTAAAGGATTATTCACGAAAGTATAGACCATGAAAGAATAGATCATGAAAGGATAGATCAATAAAGGATATATCATGCAAGGATAGTTCATGAAAAGATAGATCAAGAAAGGATAGATCAAGAAAGGAAAGATCAAGAAAGGAAAGATCAAGAAAGGATAGATCAAGAAAGGATCGATTAAAAGAGAGCAAGGCTTTAAAGGAGAAGAATAAAAGAGTTAAAGTTTACCAATAACTTAAAATGGTAAAAGATAAAAAAGAGAAAGGATTAAAATGATTAACTGTAAGGAATGATGATATAAAGAAAAATATCTTATAACGAGCCCAAATAGAAGTGAAACCTGTAAAATAAGAAAGGTATTTGAAGACAACATAACATTCCCTGATCATTAAACAACATCTAAAAAAGTAAGCACTTTGATTGTCAAAATATTGCAGAAATCCACAAAAACAAAAGAAGAAATCTGCAGAAAATGATGCAAAAATCTGCGAGATAAATGATGAAGGTTACACCACCGGCAGAAGAGAAGAGAACTGAAAGTGAAAATATGAAACCACTGTATAGGTATTTATCTGTCTATCTAAACGTGGATAGATAGATAGTATCTACCTATCTACCTGTATCTATCTATCTATCTATAGGTGGATAGATGAAGTATCTATATATCTATCTATCTATCGCCAGTTTGTTACAGGTAGAAGAGGTAGGAATATAAGCCGGTCTTTACCTATAGCAGTGGGTGTATCCACCAAATATCTACATTTATCAGTGCAGGTATCTATACTTAGTATATACATCAGTGCATGTATCTACCCCCTAAAAGCTGTAACAGTGCAGGTATCTACCCCTAATAGCTAGCACAGTGAAAGTATCTAAACAGTACATATACCAGTGAAGGTATCTACCCAGCATCTAAGCCAGTTAAGGTATCTACCAAGTAAGAATACCAATGCAGGTATCTACCTAGTATCTATACCAGTGGAAAAATCTACCCAGTATCTATGTCAGTGCAGTTACCTACCAAGTATGATTACCAGTGCAGGTAACTACCCAGTTTTTATATCAGTGCAGGTCAGGGGTATATACTCACCATTACTGTCGTTTTAAATAGCAAAAAGAGTAAAACTTCCCGTTACAGGAAAATAATTCCTTGGATAAAATGTATATTACAAACCACTTACTGAGAAGATCGAAAGAAACATCATTGTATCGTGTAGAAGAGTGCTCCTAGTTATTTACAATTCGTACAATCTACATAAATGGGGAGGCCTCGATGAAACGTTTTTTCTCTAAAATAATGTAATCTTCAAAATTACGCCTAACATTCGGAAAGGCCAGCCAGAACAATTTCTCATTCGAGCCACATTCTCCTCATTTTCTCGTCCGAACCACCTTCCTTCTCGTCCTTCGTTAAATATGTGTTTTTAAGTTTCTTATTCTTGAAAATGAAGGTATCTTTTAAAAATCAGGCCATGTTATGGCGTAAAATATGGATCGACTAAAGTGTTGCTTTACATCATGTTGAAATCTTCAAAGCCGTGAGAATGATGTTAAACTTTTTGTTAAGTGAAACTTAAATCTCTTGAAATAATTAGTACATTACTTATGAAAACTTAAATCTCTTGACTCCGTAACATACGAGAAATGAGGAGATTGTGGCTCGGACTAGAAATTGTTGTGGCTGGGCTTCCTCCCCTCGCTCACTGCTCTGTCCCTTTTCCGAGATTATTTTAAGCTTTTTCATCCACTATACGTCATTTTATTGAATAGTGTTGGTACGAGGTGTTTTTATCAAGAATATCTTTATTTATTGGAAAAGTTCCGTGATTAATAGCTTGTTGGAAAAGTATTGTTGTTACCGTTCGATACCATTATAAGAAAAATCTGCTGAGTAAAAAACTGGCAGTCAGAGAACCCCGTCCAACAAGTGCAAGAGCCAATCCACAGAAGACCTTTCCATTGCTGAACACTTAGTTAGTATAAGCTGTTATATATATTTTTATATAAAATACTAAAAAATTACTTTTAAATGTTTGAAACCGTCCTTTAACGTTAAACAGTCGATGCTTAGAGTTGCTTAAATTACAGGGGTTACTCTTGTCAGTACATAACGTACAGGCGAGGGAGGGAAGGCAACCTCCCCCGCACAGCTTCCAAACCTCCCCCGCACAGTCTTTTGGGAAGTACAGGGTGTCCCACGAAACATGACAATAGCAAGACGACTTGAAAGTCGTCTTTGGTATTTGAATTTATTTGTGACATTTAGTCTTCTACTTTAACATGTATGATTCTTGAAACAACTATCACATAATTCTCCTAGCCCTGGCATTTCCAAAAAGTGGTCTGCGTTTTTTGTGCTTTCAATATTACCGGAGATATAAAGAGTTTGGTTCAGATTTCAATTTTGTTAAATAAAAGCAAAATTGTCGAAATCTGAACGAAATTCTTCATATCTCGGGCAATATTGAAAGCACAAAAAAGGCAGACCACATTTTGGAAATGGCAGGACAAGGGAAATTTTGTGATTATTATCTCTAGAAATGTACTTCTAAAATTATATTGACAAATAAACGCAGCAAATTAAATCAAAAATCAAGACGACATTCAAGTCGTCCTGCATACTGTCATGTTTCGTGGGACACCCTGTATCTTCAATTTATAATTTTCAATTTCTACTTAAAACTGTACTAATTTGATTATTTAAGCAAGGTAGTCAATCTTTAGTATCCTTAACATTTGCATATTTTTTTCATTCCAGGGGGCCGAGCGCTGCTGCCTCGAATGTTTATTAATATGCTTTCCTCACCTTGTTTTGGGTTAGGTTAGGGTCAGACAATTTCTGGGCCGAGCGCTGGGCGCATCTATCCAACAAAATATTAAGACACAAAAATTTAGTTTTAATGCATTACTCAGAAAATGGAAATGATTGATGTTTCAAAAAAGAAAGGAGATCTTCACCAATCTTCACTGTCTCAACTCATCATGCTCTTCATGTCTACTCTAGGCATGTGGATTTTAGTTCACAGCGATTATATCTACTTGGATGGAACCTTTGACTCTGCTCCTTCCTTATTCGGGCAAATCTAATTCCATAAAGGTGCAATATTTACCCTGATATTGGATATATTTGTTTTCAGGGGGACCCATAACACTGTGGAGTAGGAAAGTGACATTTAATGAATCATGTATTCATATTATCATGAACTCTGCACTCAACTAAAGGAATCTGTATTCATATTATCATGAACTCTGCACTCAACTAAAGGAATCTGTATTCATATTATCATGAACTCTGCACTCAACTAAAGGAATCTGTATTCATATTATCATGAACTCTGCACTCAACTAAAGGAATCTGTATTCATATCATCATGAACTCTCTGCACTCAACTAAAAATCTTTAAGCCTAATAAATTGATCAAATTTGTGTTTAGGCTGTGCGTGCAATCTCTGTAGGTTTTGTCCTAATGCCTAACAAACTGAGAAGAACTTACAGCTTCCTATTCAACAAGATAAACGAACTGGTCCAGTTTAACCAAGTTGTCCAAAGAGAGTATACACAGATTTTATCTCTTAAACCCATACTTTTTCCAGATTTGAAAACTTGATATTTTTCTTTCCAGAGCTCCTAATACCACAATTGGAAATTTCTTCCCTGGAACATTGATCACAAGACGTCTCTTTAATTTAAGCAATGTATTCGTCGGAAGTTACTGAATCTGCAGCTGCATACAGCCTATATCTGTCAACATAATGTTCCTGGTCAAGTAGGTCTTCTCCCTTGTATATGTTAAACCAACATATGTTTGGTTTGGATACAGTGACGTCAGCCTTAGCTATTTAGAATCAAAGAAAGATGATGATGAGGATATTGAAGAAAATATACATCCCTTCTAGAATTTACCAACTACGTAGAGACAACTTGGGTAGGAAAAGTGCACGCCCTGTATGCTTTAGAATTCTGGAACAAGTAGGCTTAAGTATTAAAAGGTCTACCAGTTACCAAAAACCAGTGTGAATCCTTTAATTTTAATACCAAATAGAATGCAACCCTGTCCAAGAAACTCAAACTTTGGGAAATCCTTAACCGGTTCCAGAGACAGGAGGCATTTGCAGATACTATGCTCAGGGAGGACAGTTAGGCCACCAAAGTTCAAAAAACAGAGCAGAGCAAGAAAACCTTTCTTTCCTGTCAAGGAGATTTGAAGAAATGGTTCTATCCTATGATAACATGTCTTTGGGTATTTATATGAACAACATTGTTCGTTTTTTTAAAGATGATAAAGTGAAGATTAAATTGAATATCATATATTGTATTATTACTGTTCTCCCGGTTTAATTTTAAAAATTAATATTTTTTGATCAAAAATATATAAACTGGTTATGCATAAAACTAAGAATTGGTTTAAATAAAAACTAATTTTGATAGCAACATTTTTCGATAGTATGGTCATAGCAGCAACATTTCTTAACACAGCACAACAATGTTTAAAAAGCTAAAAAGCCTGAACACATTTTTATCAGAGACACCCTGTGGCTGTATTTAGTATTGTAATTTTATCAGAGACACCCTGTGGCTGTTTTCAGTATT